AACTTACAAAAGCAGATGACAATGGAAATCTTTTGATCTCAACTAAAATGATTCGAATGAACTAATATTTTTGAATATTTTCAAAACAATATTGCCATTTTTTACTTTATTCTGAAAATATTATATGGTAAAATTCTAAAAGTTATTATACAGCTGGGCTAGTTTTGGTTGCATTGGCATAGCAGTATTTACAGAGAGCTAATGGAAAATGTAGACTCTGTTCCAAATGAAATAGCACCTATTAGAGAGTTTAAATGTAGACCCACTGTGATAAGTAATGTATTAAAAAATGAAGCTAAAGATAGGGATACATAAGAAATTGGATCAAAGCCAAGAAAACCATTTGAACGGCAACAAAAAATTTCGATATGCAGGAAGTTACTTGAATAGAAAAAAGAACAAAATTATTATGAAAAAATAAATAATAATAAGGACTCTACCGAGGACTCTACTGAAATGTGGAAAACGATTGAATCAATGGTAAATTTGAGAGCTCATTAGTGAATGTGATTGAGTTTGGGTTGAGATCAGGACAGCTGAAATTGTTATAGATAAAGAATCAATCGAAGAATCAATGGCTAATTTGTTAAAGGAATAAAATAGTGCACAGGGTACAGATTGGCAACTACAGACAACTTCTATACGGGAAATTTCAAAAATTCGGGTGGTCACAATGAGAGAGAGCTAAAAATTTTAATGGAATGCAAAAAGAAATTGGCTTTAAAGTTTTAACTATTAATTTTTGGAAACAATTTTGTTCCCATAGCTGAAATCTTGTTCTTGATTTGTGTGTTTTTCAGGTAGCTAATGGAATATCTGAATTCCAATGAGATCTACTTCTTATTTCAATTTAATCAAGATTTAGAATAGATCAAGTCATTCTTGTTCTACAATTAACAGTATTTAAATGGTTGAGAAAGATGGATTGGGGATACGTAGTAGCTGTTTTCTATAGACACTACTGTTTCGCAGTCATTTGAATATTATTTGTAAGAGTGGAAAAGCTGACATAAATCGATGAAATTTACCTCAAAATCTACTCTCATGAATTGAAAAATAACTTAGGCGTTGCGCAGTGAAGTGTTTTCTTTTCGGTCTTATACTATTCATCTTATATAATAAATTCTGAATATTTTACCAAGTTGCACTTTTCTTCACTGCTGATAAAAATTTGGATGTAAATGTCAACGAAATTATCAACTTACCAAAAACGGTGAATTCTTATCTCTGTACTAATAAATTACAATTAAATGTCACAAAAGCTGAATATGTTAGTAACAACTTCTTATGGATAAAGTCCTATAAACCTTAATCTATGCAGTATTTTTATAAAATAATAATAAATTAGAGTTTGTTTCTCATATTAAATACTGACAACTTCTTAAACTTTGATGTATTTCTCATCAGTACTGTAAAATACCTAAGTATCTTTAAGTTTAACTTTAACGGAAAAGGTTTGAAATACGAATTGTGAGTAATTTTTGTAGTTGAGTTTCAGAAAATCTTGAAAATTGAGAAAGTTGCTGAATTTCACTTTCTAAAAGTGCACCCTTTTCCCAGTTCATTTTCTCGGAAACAGTTTAAAACATCCGAGTGAAGTTTACCAACACTCGTGCTGCATATTGAATTATAACAGAATTTGGAAAATCTGAAGTTTGATTTTTTTGAACTAGAAATATTGGGTCTGAAAGGGCTTAAGAATGCTAGATTCACTTTATTTGCTATCCATTATTCCAGCTAAAGCCAATCTGGCACTCCTAAAGCCCGCACGAAACCGATAATTTATATGTATATATATATCGTGTTAGAAAGTCTTTCTTCGTTGTCCGACACCTAACTTCCATCCCCTTCTATCGTCACAATCCTCTGATGAGAGATTTCTTTCACTCATGGACTTTTGTATGGTCTTCTGCCATTCCAGTTTTGGTCTTCCTCGTTTTCTTCTACCTGGTGGTTGCCAATGCAGCATTTTTCTGGGCCACCTGTCATTTGGCATTCGTTCTACGTGTCCGTACCAGGTAAGTTGTTTCTTTTCAATGTCCTGGACCATCGTGCCTTCTATGCCCATTTGTTGTTTTATATTGTCGTTCCTTATTCTGTCTCTTCGTGATATTCGCATGGATCTTCTAATAGCATCCATCTCAACTGCTTCCACTTTTTTCTTTTGTCTGTCTGTAATTCTCCAAGTCTCGGCTCCATATAGAAGGCTGCTCTTTATCATTGTCTCGTATACAGGGTGTCCGGTAAGTATATGGCATACTCTCGGGAGCGTATAGGAAGGGTCAAAATAACCTTACTTTGTTCTAAAAAAAAATTCCTAAAGTGCCCCTTAACATACAGAGCCCCAAAAGAGTACCTGGCGATCCACATTTTTGGCTCCAACTTTTGAACCGACTTGTATAATTTAATGAAGTTTTGATATTTTATGTTGGCCATAAAGACTCATAAAATCATCCTACAGCAGATGTTTCACATAGTCTGGGAAGTCAGGAACGGACTTGCCACCATATTCATTGTGCCAAATTTTTGACAGGAGTCATTTTACACAGCTGAATACTGATTTTTTGAATACTTTGGTTATTTCTCTTCAAAAAAGGTGCTCTTCATTTGTTTCGATTAAATCAGCCGTTTCCGAAAAAATTATTTTTTTGTATACGCACCTTCAATCATATACCTTAGAAATTTATTTAATAATTAAGTTTATCCTAGATTAAGAAAAACAGGTAGAAGTTGACTTATAAAAAGTAACTTTATATGGCAAAGAGGGTCGGTTTCAGGTACTTTTTATAAGTCAACTTCTACCTATTTTTTCTTAATCTAGGATCGACTTGATTATTAAATAAATTTCGAAGATAAATGATCGAAGGTGTTATACAAAAACCTAATATTTTCGGAAACGGCTAATTTAATCGAAACAAATGTAGAATACCTTTTTAGAAGAAAAATTACCAAAGTAATTAAAAAATCACTTTTCAGCTGTGTAAAATGACTCCTGTCAAAAATTTGGCAAAATGAATATGGTGGCAAGTCCGTTCCTGACTTCCCAGAGTAAGTGAAACATCCACTGTAGGATGATTTTATGAGTCTTTACAGCCAACATAAAATATCAAAACTTCATTAAATTATACAAGTTGGTTCGACCCGTCCTATACGCTCCCGAGAGTATGCCATATACTTACCGGACACCCTGTATACTGAATTTTCTCTTCTTTGTTATTTCCTTGCTCCATAATATTCCATTTAGGCATCCTATTACTTTTTTAGCTTTAACTATTCGCTTTTCTATTTCTTTCGCGTCTGTTCCGGTGTTGTCGAATGTGATACCTAGATACTCATATTCTTGACATTGCAGAATTTCTTGACCATCATCCACTTCCAAGTTTCCGTTCTGGTTGCCTACATAGATATTTTGTTTTATTTATATTAACTTTCAGGCCTCATTCTTGATACTCTTCTATCAGCTTTCTAATCATATATTGCATGTCATCTTTGTCACTGGCCACTATGACCTGATCACTGAAGAGTAAACAGGCACCTATCATTTATCTCTCTACCCATTCCATGGATCTTCCTCTTCCAATTTTTCAGTGCTACTGCTACGTATATTTTAAAAAGCGTAGGAGAGATACAACATCCTTGACGTAGTCCTTTATTTACTATAAATGTGTTTGTGAGTTTTTTACCTATCTTAATTCTTGATTTCGAGTCTTTATATAGTTCTTCAAGTGCCGTTATGTAGGTGTGATTGATGTTTGTGTGTTCTAATACCTTCCATAGTCTGGATACTGGGACAGTATCATATGCTTTTTGTAGGTCCACAAATGTGAGGTGTGTTTCCAAATATCTAGCAGATCTCTTTTCTATGATTTGTTTTAGGCAATATACGTTGTCTGTACCTGATCTTCCTGCTCTAAAGCCGCACAGCTCTTCTTCTTCTTGCTCTTTATAATCTTCTTCAATGAGATCACGCAGGATTCTACCGTATAGTCTGCTTAGTATGCTTGTGACTGATATGCCCCGATAGCTATTGCAATCCAGCTTATTTCCTTTTTTGTGAATGGATGATATAAAAGCCGTTTTCCAGTCTTGTGGAACAGGATGTCCATTTAGGCATTTATTGATAATACATGTGAGACTTTTAAAGAGCTTCTCAGTTCCCCATTTCAGCATTTTTGAGTATATCCTTTCTGGGCCGCTAGCTTTACCTGACAAGATTCTTAACAGTCTTTTTTACTGTTTCTTCAGATATGTCAACTACTCCATGTTCTTCAATATGTCTTGGAGAATCTAATATATATTCCGGTCTACTTTCTTGTAATAGACCCTTGTAATGTTCTATCCATTGCTCTGGTTTAATAATCTGGATATTAGCTCTGTCCTTTCCTGGGTGTTTGACGTTTGATATAAATCTCCATACCTCTGAGCATTTCCTTCCTCCTATGTACGTGTTAATTTCTTCACATTTCTTATCCCATGACTCGTTCTTAGCTATAGTGATGCACGTTCTTAGTTGTCTTTTTGTGCCTTTATAAACTTCAAGGTCTTGTTCATTTTTTGTTGTTAGCCATTTCAGATATTTTTGCTCCTTCTCTTGGACTAATAGCTCTGTCTCCTCGTTCCACCAGTATTTCTTGTTGGTATTTTTTTCCTTCGTTCCTATTGCTTCTTGGGTGGCTTCTATTAGACTCCTTATAATGTTCTCATGGAGTTTATTGAAGGTACATTCTTCAGGATTCAATAATTTGCTATCGAGTCGCCTCTGATATAGAAATACAGTGCTGTCATCTCTAAAACTGTCAAAATTGTAATTTGTTGTATCCACTGTGTCCGTTAGTATAGCATTGGTGTTTAGCCGATAATTTACATTTTAAAAAGCAAATAGAGCATGGTTAGAGATGCCTATTTGCACTTAATAATGATTTCTGTAATGGGAATTGCTATGCACGAAATACGTAATAAGAAGCGTACCTACACAACAAATTTTATACGAAAATTCTTACCTCGTTGGGTTCGGAAAGTTCAAACAAATCCAAACGATTGGCGTTCCATTGATTGATGACGTTTCGCAGGGCCTCTCTTTCGAGAGCCCTGCGATCGTTGTTGGTGCCCCCGATCATCTAGGGGCCCTGAAACAATAGAAGAAAAAAATCGTAAATAATTATTTGCCCTAATAATACTAAATTAGCTAGGCTATTGAACCTGCTTCCTTTTGATGTTCTAAAAACACCAAACGATTTGATTGAATTTGTTCAAATAAACAAACCCTGAACTTAAATCGGGTCCATATAAAATATCAAGATTCAATCAACTCGGTATCTAAAAATAAAATTAAAACTTCTATGAAATAATCAGCGTGGGAAATGTGTGTACCTATTTTATAGTGCAACGCGCAGTTTTTGATGCGATAAGATCGAATTTATCGAAGTGTGACATAAGAAAGTACATACAAAATATTATTTGCAAGACTTTTGAGAATTGCTTTGTGAATAATTCAAAATCATAATTCACATTTTTCTTATTCATGAAAACCTTATTAATGATGAAAAAAACCTAATCAACAGGGACTTGTAAGTAGATGGTACAGTTTACTGAATAAATTCTCCACCATAACCCTCTATAAACATAAATGCATTGTTACAGGTGCTTTCGGTTATGGTAGAACGGATGAGAAAGATTCAAGCAGACATGGTGGTATTATTATTATAGTGAAATTACTATTTTACATTATTGCTTAACACTTTAGTAATTAAGTAAGTTTAATTGGATATTTAACTAATATCGAGATTAACAAAGTTTATTGGGCAAGTGAGTCAAAAACAGTTATAATCGATTCATAGTAATCGTCCTTTTGCATGAGACGTGGAATTTCTACAGGCGTGAGTAACGTAGTTCCCAGACCAGAAAAAATATTACTTATTACGGAAACAGTTACTTTCACTTGTTTCTCTATAGCCAATTTTTTCGTTGTCTATAAACAAGTACATACTTAATTAGCTGCTTTGAAATAATATTAAAATACACAGAGGATATTGCTATTGTTCTTTTGAGTTTGGTGAATGACACATGGACATTTCTTTTGTTTGCAGTTTTCTCTTCCTTTAAACAACAAAAAAACACACCAATGTTAAACAAATAATAATTATTATACAGTCAAGGTGGTTTAATAGAAATACATAAACTTCGAAATCAATTGAATTTCTGTACAAACTTTAATAAACCATCATGGCCCGTATTCCAAATTCATTCAAATTTTAATTAATGTCCAAGCCTCGGTCCAAGCTTTATGACATAACATAGAGTGGTTGATTAAAGTGTAGAATATTTTATCTAGGGTGAGTGGCTCATCAAAAAAGCTCATTAGGCACCTATTTAATGCATGAAAGGGTGTAGAATCAAAGGATGATGGTATTTTTCTCGGTATTTTTAATTACTAAAATAGTAGGGCCCAATAAGCAAGAATCGTAAGATTTTTCAAATAATTCTAGGGCTAAGAGTCCCTTATTTAAAACTTCTAAAAACCCCCCAAAAAGTATCAGATGTCATAAAATTAAATCAAGTGGCCTAAGAACGTTTTAAGGGCACTTAAAATAGCTAACCCTTACAACACCTTAACATTAAACAGATTTTAATGAAATCTGTCCTTCAAGTAAGTGAAGCATTTCTCAATTTTTTTGATAAAAAATAATTTGGACGAAAAATTAAGGGATGGGGACGACGGAATTTATTTAACAGTGTTTCTGTCAGTACAGGGACATTGGGGGAAAATAAAAACAACAGTAGGAATTGGTTTTCAAATTTCTATTATTGATTTATGCTCTAGCAATAAGCAATTATGTGAAACGCCCCTTTGAAAAATCTACTACTGTTCGTATCAGACCCTAGACGGAAATACAGGAACCTAATCGTTAATAAAGAATCTGGGTTTGACATGTTAAATCCAATGGCTTGATTTAGTAGATTGATTGATCGATAGATTGTGTTTCGAACCAATTTCCACAGTTGAAGGTTTAACTTAACTAGGGCATCAATTGTGTTTGCACAAACTGGCCCTGGAATCCTGAGGCATAGGCTGACGCCTGGGCTCCTGGGCTGGGATTCTATAACGAATAGAGATATTTTCTTCTTTTTTCTTCTTAATATAGGGACAAGGATATGATAGTCTGAAGTCTATAGTAATTTTTTTTTGTCGGAAATTGCAACTACATATAAGCGAGACTCCGAGCCAGTTTTTTGAATACAATTTTCCCATATGATGCAACAACTTTTCAATCAATTTCGTTTTTTGGCTTGGACACTCCATCTTTGTCACAAACCCATGAAATCGAATCAGTTTCAGACCCCAAAAAATTGAATGAAGATAGAGCTTACTTTCATTTTCATTTGAACCTTTGAATGCCCAAAATTTTTCCTTCTTTCCAAATATTTTCTCAATCAGAATCATCATAGTAGAGTATGCATGCCTGAAGCAAGCCTGATGCTATATTTGCTAGCCTTTATTCGCCATTGCTTTCTATCAAAACTCAGAAGTAAAGTTTTGAGCACCAGATCTGCTCTGCTTATTTTAAATAGCTGATATTATACCAAGTCTGATAAGGCAAATATGGCTCCACTTAAGGACAAGATTATTGTACTAAATTCTACGGAGCAGTCAAAGACCAAATCAAATCCCGTAATACTTTTTCATATACAATTTATTCAAATCAGCCATAGTGAGATAGACTTGTGCAGTTAAAGTTTCTAATCCGCATCCTTAATTTCCAGGTCTATAAACCTAGCAGTCCCAAGGTGGAAAAAAACTTTGGGAACTATACAATAATTAGGTGCTTCTTTAGTTTTTGAGCAAATCAAAAAAAAACTAAGGGACTGCTAGGTTTATAAAAGCTAGCAGTCCCCTACAGTAAAAATATTTTTTCAATTTTTTTCTTTGTATCAGAATTAAGTAGGTTCTTTTCAGGTGCTCCTAAATAGTCGAAGAAAAAATAGAATTGATTAATTATTAACTGAGTTACAGATTTTTTTTTAATTATTAGGGGACTGCTGGCTTTATGTTCACATGTTGGTGTGTCAGAATGGAAAAAAACTTCGGGATCTATATAATAATTAGGTGCTCCTGTAGTTTTTGAGAAAATCAAAAAAAAAACTAAGGGATTGCTAGGTTTATGAAAGCTAGTAGTCCCTATAGTAAAAAATATTTTTCCAAAATTTTCTTTTGTATCAGAATTAGGTGCTTTTTAGGTGCTCCTAAATAGTCGAAAAAAAAATTGAATTGATTAATTATTAACTGAGTTACAGATTTTTTTTAATTATTAGGGGACTGCTGGCTTTACGTCTACTTGTTGGTGTGTCAGAATGGCAGAAAAACTTCGGGATCTATATAATAATTAGGTGCTTTTTAGGTGCTAATAAGGGCCTCTAATTAAAAATCAGGTGCTCCTCTAGTTTTTGAAAAAATCAAAAAAAGCTAAGGGATTGCTAGGTTTATGAAAGCTAGTAGTCCCCTATAGTGAAAAACATTTTTCCAAAAATTTCTTTTGTATCAGAATTAGGAGCTTTTTTAGTGCTCCTAAATAGTCAAAGAAAAAATAGAATTGATTAATTATTAACTAAGTTACAGATTTTTTTTTCAATTATTAGGGGACTGCTGGCTTTACGTCTACTTGTTGGTGTGTCAGAATGGCAGAAAAACCTTCGGAATCTATATAATAATTAGGTGCTTTTTAGGTACTAATAAGGACCTCTAATTAAAAATCAGATGCTCCTCTAGTTTTTGAAAAAATCAAAAAAAGCTAAGGGATTGTAGGTTTATCAAAGCTAGTAGTCCCCTATAGTGAAAAATATTTTTCCAAAAATTTCTTTTGTATCAGAATTAGGAGCTTTTTAGGTGCTCCTAAATAGTCAAAGAAAAAGTAGAATTGATTAATTATTACCTGAGTTACAGATTTTTTTAAAATTATTAGGGGACTGCTGGCTTTATGTTTACTTGTTGGTGTGTCAGAATGGAAAAAAACTTCGGGATCTATATAATAATTAGGTGCTTATTATGGCCTCTAATTAAAAATTAGGTGCTCCTCTAGTTTTTGAGAAAATCAAAAAAAAAACTAAGGGACTGCTAGGTTTATGAAAGCTAGAAGTCCCCTAATAATTAAAAAAAAAACTGTAACTCAGTTAATCATTAATCAGTTCTATTTTTTCTTCAACTATTTAGGAGCATCTAAAAAACACCTAATTCTGAAACAAAAGAAATTTTTGGAAAAATATTTTTCACTATAGGGGACTACTAGATTTCATAAACCTAGCAACTCAGATAATAATTAGGTAATCAATTCTATTTTTTCTTCGACTATTTAGGAGCACCTAAAAAGCACCTAATCTGATACAAAGAAAAAATTTGAAAAAAACATTTTTTACTATAGGGAATCTTTAATTTCCTTAGACTTGTCGAATTTCACTTCAAGTCTAAAAATTTCACAACATAAAGGTAAGACGTAATAAGTGAATGAATATGTAGTTAATTAATAACACTTTGATTGTACCTAGCAGAGTCATAATGATAAAAAAAAGCATTGCATAATAACAGATCAAGGACAATGTGGCTAACAATTCAATACAAGTAAAACAAATGAATATTTATTTTATTTCTATGATATATCTAATGGTAAAATAAGTCCATTTCACATGACCATTCATTTCGCGGTATGATCGTATCTGTGTCAACCACAGGAAGTTTCTTCATTTTATTTGAATAAGGTTTTTTTTTATTTTTCTCAGAACACCAAACAGGCGTGTATTAGGTATATTCGTATCAATTATTATTATGGTTGTATATACCTATCAGCGTTGTTATTTATTTTTCCCAAGTTTAAACAAGTGAAACTAATCCAAACATGCGGGTCTTGACCCATTCTTAAAACAAGCCTCAGGGACACAGAATCAATTACGTCATTGTTCTTTTTATAACACAGTCATCTCATATTACAAGGGATTTTAGTTACACACTCTTATATGGAATCATTTTCATTGATTATAAAGGCTAAGGGAGGGCTTTAATTTCGCCAGCAATAACTAATAAATTTAAAGTGACTCTTGAGTCAAATTCAATTATTAAAGGAGGAATAAAGCGGAGGTC